TGCTTCATGTTATCCTTTGCAGGCTCCCTTTCCATCTTTGGTACTCTGGCTGCTCTATAGTCTTTTTTGGGGGTGGGGCAGGGTTGAGACAGGGTCTCACTATGTAGTTGAGACTGACCTGGAACTCACTATGTAGCCCAGGCTGGTCTCGAACTCACAGTGATCCTCCTGAGTGCTAGGATCAGAAGCTTACGTCACCACACCTGGCTGCTCTGTAGTCTTGATGAAGACATCTAAAGAGACAAAAGCTATTTTTGAAAGCACCAAAGAGCACTCTGCCCATGGGACTCCAGGAGCCAATCCTGTTGTTTCTTTTCAGGCAGCCTTGAGGTTGAGTAATGAATAAGAATCCACCCACCCCCTGTCCAGTTGCTGAATGGAAGACTAGGAGGGTTGAGGAGGGCATGACCTCTCACTGAAAGGCACAGGTTTTTCTGCTCTTTGTTCACTGGTGTGCTTCCTGTGCCTCAGACAGTACCTGGTGATTAGAGGGAAAAGGAAGAGGAGTGTAGCTTTGGGATGTTTGTTCTGAGGTCAGCACTCTAGGGCAGGCCACATGCAAGTCACCTAATCGGTGAGAAGCAGGCTTGGTGTCCAGTTGCACACCTGTGGGCTGGCCCTTAGGAAAGAGGGAAGTGTTGTCACAGGTGGTTCTAAGTCTGGAAGCTTGCTGATCTTGAGCTCTGCCCATTCTGCAGCTTTCCCCAAGGAAGGGTGAGTCCTTTATTTAACTATCAGCGGCATGACCACCTTCTTTCTTGCAGGCAAAGACCTGTGTCAAGAGCTGGTGAGTTTTCTTGGTGGAGGTTTTATAAACAAGTGAGTGAGATGAATATGAGTATTTGGGTGTGAGAAAAACAATTGAAAAAGCCTGCTCAGAGAAGCCTGCTCATCACAAAAGAGTTTCCTTTGTCACCATTTGGCTTTCTGGTTGTTACTTATCTTAAATATTTCACTCCATCTTCACCCTCATGTTACAGATGGCTTCACTCAGTCAGCATCTACACAACCGGTCTTCAGTATCTCAGGACTGAGCAGCGATCTCTGACCTTTTCCTTCTTTTCCCTCCCTCCTCCCTCCCTCCCTAGGTTCTTTTTGTGAGCAGTTTACCTGGTATTGGGCATAGTTGGATACAAAGGAATCACAGGTCTTGCTTGTTTGAACAGACGAAAGGGAGCTGTGAAATTTAAGTGCATTGAAGTATGTTTCATCCACACATGCTTGTCTCTCACACACACACCCACACCCATCTGGGGTGGGGATTGTACTCAAGACCTTGTGCTTGTAAGGCAGGCATGGCACCACTGAGCTAAATCCCCAGCCCTCCACTTGTGCTTAATCCCAGGCTTGTCCCACACATGCCCACCTTTGCCCTTTACCTAGGGCTCGAAGATGCTTTATCCTTTGAGATCTTCATTTTGTGTTAAAATTACCTTGGACACTGGTAGCACATTGTGTATTTTAGAGTGATTTCTAATCTGTAAACAGGGCCAGGGATGTAGCTCAGTGCACAGCACCTGCCTGGCAAATGCAAGGCCTGAGTTTGATTCCCCCCCCAAAAAAAAACCCCAACAATAATGAGCAATCAAACCCTATCACACGCCTAGAGGAGCCATAGAACTGCTCATATTTAGCTAGCAAAGGAAGCAAAACTTCTGTGACTTGCACAGGGTCTCCAAGGGAAAACAGGAACACATGGTGATTTTTGTACATGTTGCTCAATGCAGCTTGTGAAGCTTTTTGTAAAACAGTGCACAAAATACAGTGGTAAGTACTGTATTCGTGGAGTATGGCACAGCCACGAAAAGCAGTATTCTTTTTTTTTTTTTTTTTTTTTACCGGGGATTTAACTCGGGTCCTTACACTTGCAAGACAGGTCACCGAACCACTGAGCTAAATCCCAGGCCCCAAAAGCAGTATTCTTAAGCCTGTGTAGGAATGTGGAAGTTGTTGTAAGTTTAGAAAGCAAGTTTTAAAATAGTATGTGTGAGATTGGGGGTATATAGCTCAGTGGTAGAGTGCTTGCCTAGCATGTGCAAGACCGTGGGTTTCATCTCAGTACTGCAGAACCAGACCGACCAAAACAAAACGATGTTTGGTGTGATTCCTTTTCCTTTTTTTTTCTTTTGGGGGTTCCTGGGGATGGAACCCAGGGACTCAAGCATGCCTAGGTAAGTGCTCTGCCACTGAGCACAACTCAGCCCCAATCCCAATATTTCTAAGAATTTGTGTAAGGAAAAAAAGAGACTAGAGGAATGGGTCCTAATGTAACAGTTTATACATTTTATCTTTTAAAACCTTTTTTTTTTTTTTTTTTTTTGA